AATAAAATACAAATAATAAATTATTTTAAATGAAGGATGTGACACGACATTATGAGACAAGGAACCTCCAAAGATGCTGCCGAGTTCATTTTCTGCCGGCATCTACTCCTGGGCATGCTGCCTACCAGTGAGAGTAGTTTGTTTCCCCAGTGAGACTCCTTTGGAGGAAACGGAATTTTCATTTGCAAGTGATTATCTAATTGGAGATTGCTTCTGGGTTAGGAATAGGGGCCTGTGTCCATGCCTCCTCAGTTCTCAGACCCCAAACTGATGCAGACCAGTGAAAGCCCTGTGCATGCTGTGTCTTCATTCTCTGTGAATTCCTATGTGCATGGGTCATGTGGGTTTAGAAGGACTTGTTTTCTTGGTGGTCTCTATCTCCTTCTGGCTTGTACAATCTTTGCACTTCCTCCTCCAAGGGGTTCTGTGAGCCCTGAGGGGAGGGATTTGAAGTAGATATCCCATTGAGGGCTGAGTGTTCCAAGGTCTCTTGCTATCTGCACCAAGTTTGGCTGTGGGTCTCTGTATTTGTTCCCATCTGCTGCAGGAGGAAGCTTCTCTGAAGATGGCTGAGCAAGGAAGGCACTGACCTATGAGTATAGCAGAATGTCATTGAGAGTCATCTTATTGCTAATTTTTTGTTTGTTTTCAGAACAATAGTATTTGATTTTACTCTAGATCCCTAGGCTATCTAGTTTCAGGTTCTGGACCACCTGAGCAGTGTTGAGTGTGGGTTCCATCCTGTGGATTGTGCCTTGAGTCAAACCAGAGTTTGGTTGGTTGCTCCCACAAGCTCTGTGCCACCATTGAACTAGCAGGTCTGGCAGACTGGACACCATTGTAAATCACACAGTTTGTGGCTGGCTTGGTGTTTATATTTCTCTCTGGGTAGTGTGCAGAGTGCTATCCTGTACCAAAGATACTAGCCCACAGGCTGTGTGTGGGCATCAGCTCAATGCTCCATGTTCAAAGAGTTGTGTAGGTGTGATCTTCAGCAATGGGGCCTTGCTGTCAGCTTGTGGAGAGCAACCTATAGTCTTGGCAACTGCCAGGGTTGTTTGGAGATTCCCTTGAGAGCTCTTTGGCTAGCAACTCGCATTTAGATGTAACCCATTCCTGGTACTAGAAGCTTCATTTGGTGACAATAAATACCCAGCTGGGGCTCTGTTTCCCCCACTATTTTTGGCAATTTCATTTAGATCTCCTTTGCACATGCATGTGTACGTGTGCATGCATATGCGTGTGTATATTAGGAAGCTTCTGATTTAGTTTTTCTTAACAGCTAAATGGTATTCGTTTTCCATTCATCAGTCGATGAACATCTAGGCTGTTTGTATCTCCTGACTATTGTGAATAGAGCAACATTGAACATAATGCACAAGTGTCTCCACGGTAAGATGGAGTCCTTTGGGTATGTGCCCAGAGAGCTATAGCTAGATCTTGACACAGGTCAATCCTCAGCTTCCAGAGGAATCAGACCCTGATCTCCACAGTGGCTGCACTAGTTTGCATTCCAGACAGCAGTGACTAAGAGCCCCTTTCTTTGAATCTTCTCCAGCATCTGCTCTCATTATTTTTTTTTTTAAGCTTGACCATTCTGACTGGTGTCGCATGAAATCTCAAAGCTATTTTAATTTGCATTTTCCTGATGGCTAAGGATGTTGAACATTCCCTAAACTGTGTCTCAGTCATTTGTGCTTCCTCTTTTGACTAATCTCTGTTTAGTTCTGTACCCCATTTTTAAATTGTGTTATTTGTTTTCTCGATGTTTAAGGTCTTTTCATTCCTTTGTATATTATAAATATTTGACAAATCTTTTTCCCATTCTGTAGGCTGCCTCTTCACTGGAATGATGGTGTCCTTCGCTGTACAGAAGTTGCTTTGTGTAATGAGGTCCCATTTGTCAGTTGTTGGTCCTAATGCCTGCTATGAGGATCCTTCTTCAGAAAATTCCTTCCTGTGCCTACAGGAGCCATCATATTACAATTCCTCCTCTATCAGTTCAGGGTATCAGGTCTTCTGTTGAGACCCTTGGTTCATTTTGAGTTGAGTTTTGCACAGGGTAAGAGATATGGATCTAGTTTCATTCTTCCACTCAGTAAATCCAGCTTGACCAGCACCATTTGTTGAAGGTGCTGTCTTCTCTTCAGTGTGTATTTTTGGCCTCTTTGTCAAAACTCAGGTGTTTATAGATGGATAGATTTAATTTCTGGGTTCTCGATTTCAGGAAAAGGCACTCCATGTGCAATCCTGACAACCTGAATTCGATCCCCAGATTCCACCATGAAAAAGTAGAACTAACTCTTAAACGTCAAGCTGACCTCCACGTGCATGACAAGTGCATGCCCAGACTCATGGACTCACATCATACACAAACAGACAATTTTTCTTCTGACCTCCACAGGCATGATAGGTGCATGCCTGGACTCACATCATACACACAAACAGACAATATTAAATTAAAATTTACAAATGTAGTGAAATATCCATCATTATGATCTAGTCTCGAGAGAAATTAGTTAATTTCACTTGCATGCCCACAGGCTTTCTGAATACATTATATCTCCTTCTGCAGCTCCGCACAGAAAGCCTGTCCGTATCTCCTTTCCTTTATGAAGTTCTTTCCTAATGTCTAACTTTGCTTACTGACAACGACTCCTCCCATTCGCCGGGACCAGGAGCTGTGCAGTCCCCTTGGAGTCTCCCTCTCTGCATTGTTTGTGAAGCTCTCTTCTTTCTTCAGGGCCATGCTTGAGTTAGAACTTCAGGCTGAGCCTCTGTGAGCTCTCTTAGGCTGTGTATGACAGCGACTGATGACAGACAGGTGTGTGATTCCATCTCCATCCCTGCTAGCTCAGTGACATTACAGACAGACCAATCTGTCTGTAAACAGCCAGAGTTGTGGGGATTAAATCATCTTCAGACAAACAGCTTCCTGTGTATGTAATTGTCAGCTAGCACAACTAGACATGTGCCTCCAGCTAAATTGTAGCTCCACAAAGAGAAATGATGCTGTTGTCAGGTTCAAAGGAAATGCCAATTCTCCAAACCTCAGAAATGAGCTCAACATGGACGACAGGAGGAGTTCCCCACCAAATTCCCCCCAGCTCACAGGTTTCCCTCCTCCAAAGCTGCTCACTCTCCTTATAACCCTGCTGCTCCTGGTATGTTCTCTCGACTCCGCTCCTCTCGCTCTTTTCTCTATTCTGATCCCCTGCTATTCTCCCCTCTCTCACAGACAGCCCTGGCCATGTCCATCCTGCTGGTCATGTCCAGTCTACTTCTCTCTCTCTCTCTCTGCTCTGGACTCTTCCAGATGCCTCTGACTGCTCTCTCTCTCTCTCTCTCTCTCTCTCTCTCTCTCTCTCTCTCTTTCTCTCTCTGCTTTTTCTTAAGTAAGCCCTTTGCCAGTAATGGTAGAAGACATACAGAAGGTTCAAAATACCATCAAATATAAGAATAAAGTAGTTACTTCGCTTTGGGGTATACGGGGAAAACACACATTTTTTTTGTTGTTGTTGTTAAAGTCCAAGAAATAATTCTGAGACTGCTTTAGATTCTAATTTCTTACTTTCTGAAAACAAAATTCAAATAAACGTGAAGTTATAGTGAGACAAGAATGCATTCTTAAATAAACATCAAGTCTTGTGATGGAAGTGACTTTCAAGGGTGGATGTGCTGGGCCAGGCCTTTTGAAGTTAAGTTTAACAACAACCTGAAATGTTTGTAAAAATGCAGACTCCTAGGTCCCTCATCCAGACTCCCTGAATTAGGGTCTCCAAGAAAAAAAGGACTCAGAGGAAATTTGTTTCCTTTTAAAACCTTGGGTGAAACTAGGCATGATGGTGCAACCTGCAATCCTAGCACTTGGGGAACTAAGACAGAAGGACTGTTAGTTTAAGGCCAGACTGGTCTATATAGCAAGGCTTGGTTCCCCCACCCACAAAGAGAAAGAAATGTGGATAACTGGTATAAGAGATAGCTTTCGATATGAAAGTTTAGACAATACACTTTGTTTTGAAAGTTTCTATCGGATTTCTGTAGGCCAAGTGTTTATCCAGGTTATTTATATTTACTTGTCTTATTTCTGTACCGCTCCAGGCCCGAGGACCTACGCCGAGAGTTTGGTCGGTACGGCCCCATAGTGGATGTTTACATCCCGCTTGACTTCTACACTCGCCGCCCCCGAGGGTTCGCCTATGTTCAATATCCTCTACCGTATGTGCGCATGCGAACATGCTTCGTAGTGTGCTTATCCGCGTATGTGTTTAGGAACGGATGTTATGAGATCAACATTGTCTTATTAAATATGTTTTTTCTTTATCTCAAAAAATCTAAAACAGTCCACAGTAGCTGGAAAGTGCCGCCACCCCCAGTCCCCCACCTCCGTACCCCCTCCCCGCCCCCCTTCCCCCAATCCGGACGAGCTTGTTAGCTAGACTCCAATCCTAAACGATGCTGAGAGACTGGTGGCCAGCGTCCCCTTTGATATATTTAATAGGCGCTTCAGGTAGCCATTTATTCCAGGTTTCTTTGAGACCTGAACGGTTTCCTGTTATTTTATACTTACATCCAACTTGTAGCACATAGGGGACTGTTGAAAGTAGTAGATTCAGAGGTGGGCACCACCCTCAAAGGGTCAAGGTCGTCTTTTGTCTTAGCTTGCTTTTATTATTGCAGTTCTGTATATAATGAGTCATTTCTCCTGCATTTTATGACTAGACTTTTAGTGATAGAGTACTTTTACTTGCAGCATAAAAGCTTCTTCTGCGTGCTGATATTTCCAGTGAAAACCTAATAAATCCTTTCTCTGAAAAGGGGGTTAAGCCCTGAACAGTTTATTTTATTTCTTGATTTTATAATGCCAGTTAATTTGAGATTAATTTCTTTCCTCACATTTCAAATTATGCTGCTAATTGTATCTGCTGTTCTGTTCTTGTGTTCATGCTTCTAAATCACAAGAGCACATCTGTTTTTCACAGTAAAACAGAAAAGCTTTTCTGGTTATTCGCATTGGAGCCAGAACTTGGTTTTCTTGTCGATTGAATTTCACATGTAAGTAATACCCAGAAATAGTTTTGCTTACCGTCTGATGTCCAAAGTGTCCTTAACAGCTGCTCATGTTTGAAGATGTTCGAGATGCTGAAGATGCACTCTATAACCTCAATAGGAAGTGGGTCTGCGGCCGGCAAATCGAAATACAGTTTGCCCAAGGTGATCGCAAAAGTAAGTGGAAAGGACCCTTAGCTCTCCATGACATAGCCGAGCTGTTACTGCTTCCAAGTGTCAGCAACAGTAGCGTGGCACTTAAAGGTCTTCAGAAAACGTCCCGACCAAGCCGCAGGGATTGTGGTTTTCAGGAGTAAACTGTTAGGAGCCTTGTTCTTCGTATTCTAGCACCCGGGCAAATGAAGTCGAAGGAACGCCACCTGTGCTCGCCGAGTGACCACAGGAGATCCAGAAGCCCCAGCCAGAGGAGGTCTCGAAGCCGAAGTTCGTCGTGGGGCAGAGACCGGAGGCGCTCGGACAGCCTGAAAGAGTGAGCACTGAGAGCGACAGCACACAGCTTCATTTTCCACTTTTTCTGAGAAATAGTTTAAAGAATTACTGGGGGGAGAGGGGGGACTTAGATGATGATTTTGTTTAATATGGACAAACAAATTTCTGTGGAAAGACATGCTCTTCCCTATTATGTATGGGTTCTGTTTGTTTTCCTGGGCCGTGGGGTTGAACTCAGGACCCGGCAGATGCTCACAGGCACTCTGCGGGACCTCTACACTGGCTCTGGGGCTGTATTCCCAGCACCCCCTCCTTTCTAAACTCTTTAGCTTTAGACAGGGTCTTGTTATTGTTATTTTGGTTGATTGTATTATAGGTACATGCTATGGATGTGTACGTACTGTGTGCGTGTGCGTATGCATGCACGTGTGTGGTTAGAGGCTTATTACCAGGAGTCTTTTTTAATTAATTAATTAATTAATTAATTAATTTATCATTTTGGTTTTTGAGACAGAGTTTCTCTCTGTTGCTTTAGAACTTGTTCTGAAACCTGCTGTATAGACCAGACTGGCCTTGAACTCACAGAGATCCCCCTGCTTCCGTCTCCCAAGTGCTGGGATTAACGGGATGCACCACCACTGCCTGACTCAGGTGTCTTTCTTGATCACTCTCTACCTTGGTTTTTGGTAGCAGGGTCTATCACTTAACCTGAAGCTCATCCTTCAGGCTAGACTGAATGTCCAATGAACTGAAATCCACCTTTCTCTACCCCCACAACATCCCCCATTGCTGGGTTCACAGATGTGCACCAGTGCCTCCTAACTGTTTAAAGATGCTATATAATCCAAGTTATTGTCCCAACCAGTTTGGTAGCTTTGAACTCTGAGGCTTGTGACTCAAGTTTTGCTTATGTTGATTAGTCTGTAATGCTTTCAGAGGAGGGTTTTGCTTTTCTTTTGATAGAGAGCATTGCTGTGCAGCCAAGCCTGGCCTGGAACTCGAGATCCTTCTGCCTCAGCCTCTTGGAATTCTGGAAAAATAGGCATTTTCCATCATGCTAACATGTGCAGCAGTTTTTGCTTTTACAAGCATTATTTGTAAACTTTTTTTTTAAAGAAAAAGATATTTAATGTTTACAGATTGAAAGAATTAAGTTTGAGTAGAAATACTCCCAAAATTGGTATACTTATTTGGTACAATTCTTTTTTTTTTCAAAGTTTATTAAATTATAAAAGTTTCCATTTCCGCCCCTCCTCCCAACACCCTCCCACTCCCCCCCCCCACTTCCCCTCCTCCTCCCTCTCTATCCCTAAGAGCAGTCAGGGTTTCCTGCCCAGTGGGAAGTTCAAGTTCCTTCCCGCTCCCTCCAGGTCCAGGAAGGTGAGTATCCAAACAGACTGGATCCCAAAAATCCAGTATATGCAGAGAAAACAAGTCCCAGTGTCATTGTCAATGGCTTTTCAGAAAGACTCCGGGCCAGCCACATTCAGAGAATCCGGCCACATTCAGAGAATCTGGTTGGATCACGTGCTCCTTCAGTTCCAGTCCAACTGGCCTTGGTGAACTCTCATTAGAACAGACCCCTTGTATCAGTGGGTGATCCTAACCCTCGGGGTCCTGGTTTCCTTTTTCATGTTCTTCCTCCTTCTGCTCCTCAATTGGACGTTGGGGGGCTCAGTCCGGTGCTCCAATGTGGGTCTCCGTCTGTATCGCCATCCATCGTCGGATGAAGGTTCCCTCTGGTCTTGCCTTCTTTGCTCACGTTCTCTTTCCTTCTGCTTCTTGTTTGGACCTAGGGAGTTAAGTCCAGTGTTCCACTGTGGGTCTCTGTCTCTATTTCCATGCATCGCCAGATGAAGGTTCTATGGTGATAAGCAAAATATTCATCAGTATGGTTATAGGCCAAGGCCGGTTCAGGCACCCTCACCTCTGTCCAGAGAACAATCTGGGGATCTGGATCTCTCCTTGGACCTGGGATCCCATTTATAAACAAGTCTCTTGTAAACCCTAAAATGACTCGCTTAGTTGAGATATATTCTTCCCTGATCCCATATCCATCCTTCCTGCCTCCCCACCCATCCCAGTCCCCCATGATGAGGGGTTGGTGAAGATCTTCTCCCAGTCAGAAGGTAGCCTTTTTGTCTTACTGACGGTGTCCTTTGCTTTACAGAAGCTTCTCAGTTTCAGGAGGTCCCATTTATTCATTGAATCTCTTATTGTCTGTGCTACTGGGGTTATACTGTGCTACAAATATAGTAGCACAGACAATATTTGTAAACTTTTAATAATTGTTTTCTTTCTTCCCTATTTATAAGGTTTTTTCCTTCCGATTTTTATGCCTGTTAACAGTTGTTTAACCCAGCAGGGTGTTGGGTGCATGTCTGTAATTCCTGCACTTGGGAGGTTGAACAGGACTTTTTTGCAGAACTAAGGTATATGATATAGCGTCACAAGGTAAAAATGTTTTGAGCATATATTCTAGTATAACAGATATTACAGACTTGTTACTTATGTTTGAGTCAAAAGCATGATTAGAAGTGTAGTTTGGTGGTAGAATATTTGCCTAGCAAACACAAGGCCCCAGGTTTTAGGCCAAGCATTGCCGAAACAAAAAAGTGTCTTGTCATTAATCTATTAAAACTTAATGAACATAATGTGTTAATCAGACTTCCCATCATGATGACAAACACTCCAAAGAAGAACTTAAAAAGGTAAGATTTATCTTGCTCAGAGTTTCAGAGGGTCCAGCCCATGGGAGGCTAGATCCATTGCTGTGGGCCTGATGTGAGGCAGACTATCGTGTCCAGTGACCTTATGGTGCAGGTTGATCAATTCATGGCAAATAGTAAGCTGGGGGGGTAGAACAGGTGATAAGAAGCAGCTATTGCCAGGCAGTGGCAGAACAGGCCTATAATGTCAGCACTTGGGAGGCAAAGGCAGGTGGATCCCTGAGTTTGAGGCCAGTCTGGTCTACAAAGCAAGTTCTTGGACAGCCAGGGCTACACAGAGAAACCCTGTTTGGAAAGACAGAGAGAGAGAGAGAGAGAGAGAGAGAGAGAGAGAGAGAGAGAGAGAGAGAGAAAGAAGAAGAAGAAGAAGAAGAAGAAGAAGAAGAAGAAGAAGAAGAAAAGAAAGCAAGCATGCTTTGAAACCACCCCTGGGGATCCACTACTTCAAAGGTGGTCTCCCCTACTACCCCACACCTCCTGATGATGTCATACATTGTGAGTCCATCAGGGACCAACCCACTGATTAGGTCAGATCCCTCAGAATCTAGTCACATCTCCTAAGTCTACTGGCTGGCAATCAGGCCCCCTAATACTTGAGTCTGGGGAGGATTTTTTTTTCTTTTTATTCACATGGGTCTTTTATTTGCATGTATGTCTGTCTGTTCCTCACGTTTATGCAATGCTTTCAGTGATCGGAAGATGCCAGATCCCCTGGAACTGCAGTTACAGACGGTTGTGTGTGACTGACCACATGGGTGCTAGGACTCAAATCCAGATCCTCCGGAAGAACAGCAAATGCTTTTAACCCCTGAGTCACCCTGACAGCCCCGTGGGGTGTATTTCCTATCAGAGTCACAGCACTATAAAACCCGTCAGAAAGTACTGTCTCTCTAATGTTACACTTGCTTTCAGGTCTCGACACAGGCGATCTTCCTACAGTCAGTCCAAATCCCGCTCCAAGTCACTACCAAGGCAGTCTACCTCAGCAAGGCAGTCGAGAACACCGAGAAGGAATTCTGGATCTAGAGGCCGGTCAAGATCCAAGTCCTTACCGAAAAGGTCCAAGTCAATGGAAAAATCAGAGTCACGCTCACCTCCAAAGCAGACTGGCTCAGGAGCAAAATCCAGACCACATGGACGGCACTGTGGTTCCATCGCAAGATCCCCATGCAAGTCCCCCAGAGGGTACACCAGCTCCGGAACCAAGACACAGGCAGCAAAGCAGTCTCACTTTCCGTCACACTCCAGATCGCGGGGCTACCATCATAAAAACAGCTGGTGAACAGCCGCTTCCAGGAGAGCCACCGAGCTCCGCTAGGAGTTATTAGACCTCGTTGTGGTTACAATTCCTCAAGGCTTATAGAAATGGGAACTGGTGTTAGTTACCTTGGCCATGTGGAAGGAATACAGTCGCCCTAGCTTTGACTAATCAGTATTTGATCTCAATTTAAGGGCTCAGCCACAAGTCACCATGGCCACCACTGTGTAGGCTGTACTTGGTTCACGTTGTATAGCAAGGGGGTACCTCCCAAAGGGAGGAGGCAAGATGGAACCAGTATAAAAATCCTACTTAGATATGAAATATTATCAATAATATTCTTTACAAAAGTATTTTTTACTCTAAAACACTTTTCACACAAAAAGTAATTGTGATTATATGTAATGGCATAGGCCAGACTTAAACTGTTCAACACCTGTCTTTCTTGTGATTTCTGTTTAAGCTTGGGCCAATTCTTGGTAGGTATTAGTTCAAATCACAGCATTCTGAAATCTCAAAAGATAAAACTTATATAGATTCTGCAGCGATTCAAAAGATAGTTAAAAGATGTTTAAAAGATAAAGAACCTTTCATTGTTTTTGAACACAGCGGCATAGACCAGTTGACATGAAGTGATATCCATGTTTGCTTAAAATATAAAAACAAAGCTGGATATGGTGGCACATGCCTGCAATCCCAGCGCTTGGGAGATGAGGTTGCAGGGTCAAAACCAGCATGGACTGGGCTACACGAGACCCTGTCTAGAAATAAATAAACAGATGCTTTTTTAAAAAACCGAAACCATTTTAGAAGTACTAGATTTTGAATGGTTTGAGACTACTCTAAAAATTATGGTGTGGAACACTCAGAATCCACAAATACTCATATTAAGCCTTACATAGTTGAAGTACAGTACATTTTGTATAAATTCATATTTATACCATTATTTCTATATAGCTATTTTCATCTGCATTTTTCTTTTTAGAGCTCTAGTTCAATATCCTAATTATATACAAAGTCTTTTTAAAGAAAATAATTAAACACATAGTACATTATATTAAGAAATACTAGCTAATGAGATGGCTCGGTGAGTAAATCCACTCACCACCCACACCGGGCCACCCGAGCTGGGCAACTTGAGTTCAGTTCCTGAACCCACTCAAAAGTGGAAGAGAACTGGCTCCTGCACACTGTCTCTGACTTCCACACTGTGCTATGGCCTGTGTGTGTACGCACACATGCGCACACACACGCACACACACACACACACACACACAGACACAAATAAATGTATGCAAAAAACTTTAAGTTCAAAACTATACCTTCAAACCAGACATGTAGTACATGTACATGCCTGCCATTGTAGGACTAGGGAAGCCTGAAACTTGAGACCAGCCTGGGAAACACTGAGATCCATCACACACACACACACACACACACACACACACACACACACAGAGAGAGAGAGAGAGAGAGAGAAAGAAAGAAAGAAAGAAAGAAAGAAAGAAAGAAAAAGATCTTCATAAAAACAGCTTTGAGGTGAGGTATTTGACTTTTACATTATTCTATTCTCCATTTTAAAAACCAAATAACTTTGTTGACAAGTACTGCTTTTGTAGTTGTTATTACTCAGAATTTCTTTTACCATGTCATTGAGGTTTACATTTCAGAGGGTTTTGGTAGATTTGTGATAAAATGGTTTGCATCTGATGGTTATAGGAGATATGTTTACAGATTAGCTTTGTTGAATCACATTGCTGAAACACACTGTCAGCCCTTACAGCTAATATGTATGCCTGGAATACCTAAGAAACCTGTCTTACATTTTCAGTGTTTGGAGCTATGTTACTTCTATTAACTTCCAATATAGAGTTCCATAGTCTTTGCATTTTAAATCCTTTATGTGAGAAAAACCTTCACAAAATAATTTGTACATTGGTGATATTTGGAGAAGTAACACAAATTAATGTACATTATACTCTCTGGATATATTTTGTCTATTTAACCATAGCAACAATTATTTATTTCAAAACTTCATTCTGATGTTCCTCTGTAATAAAGTGATTATAAAAGCCTGGAAGACTGTTGGAAGCTTCAGGAGTTTGACGTTATCCTGATCTGTGCATATGTATGTGCTGTGGTTAACACACGTAAAGCCATGGCTTCCTCGGTCCCAGCACCGCAGGGGTGGGAGCACTGTACATCTACGCTGTCTTTACCCTCACAGATCATTTTATCAGGGACCATTACCTCAAGGGTGCATGACTTTTCTTGGGGAAACTTGAGCAAACTCGTAGTCACCCCAGAAAAGTTGCTAACGACAGATCATCCCAGTGGAGAAGTAGGAGAAGTAGGCTTACAGAAGCAGCTTACGGGCTGTGGGAAGAGGACTCCCCAGCAACTGTTTCTGTGTCCTACGGGCTGTCTCATGAGGCTTCCTCCCCTTTCTCCAGGGAGTGTTAGTGAGCCCAGTCTTATGAGGGTCCTCTGAAGTTATCATGCCTGCTCTGATTCCCACCTGGCAATGGCCATGTCATGCCCAGACAACAGCATTCTGTAACACTTAGAAAAAAGTTAATACAATCCTGAACATGCTTAAATTTTCCACTTATGTTTGACTTGGTTTTCCAGTATAATACTGTTAATCCCAAAGATCCAAGGAGAAAGTTCATTGACCCGAATCATCATGACCAAATTAGTCAAAGCAAGCTTTTTTATTCATGTACACAGGCTGTCTCCCGCAAAAGTCGAGGTTCAAGAGATGAGCGTTGGATATGAAGCAGACAAGGATTTTATAGCTCAGAGGTAGGGGGCTTCCAAATGGGTGATTTGGTAGGTAGATAGGTGGGGTTAGAGAAACAGAATGTAAGCATAACGAGTTAGTCATAATGACCTCCTGAAAAAAATACATGGTTGCAAGATGGTCATAACAAGGGTGTCATAACCACAGGTTTGTCATAGGTGGTCATATAACCTTTCGAAACAAAAGCATGGTTGTCATTTTCTGAAACAGGCGGTACAGAGCCATTTGTAGTTAAGGTTACAGGAGGGGCAGAATCCAATCCTTGAGAAACAGAGGTTTAATCATAAACAGGAATAAACTTAGTTTGTCTTTACTATAAAATGGCTTTTAAGCCCGAGATGGAGACAGGCTGGTTCATCAGTACCTAATGCTGATGAGGACAGCGTTCAGCTTGAATGAATGTGGCTTAAATTTTTTTATTTAAAATTTTTATTATATGTATGGGTGCTTTGCCTGCATGTGTGTCTGTGCATTGCATGTGTGCCAGGTGCCCAGGGAGGACAGAATAGGGTATCAGATCCCTGGAACTGGAATTATATATGGTTGTGGGTCACTATGTGGGTGCTGGGAATTGAACCTGAGTTCCCAAGAAGAGCATTTCAGTGCTGATAACCACGGAACCATCTCTCTAGCCTCTTAAATTTTTAAGAGCTAGGATTTGTTTTGGCTCACAGTTCAAGACACAATCCATTATGGTGGGGAAATTGTATCGGCAGATGCAGAAAGCAATGAATAAATGCTTGTGCTCAGATTCCTCCATTTTATAGACTCTGAAACCCAAGCCCAGGGGATGGCCCCACCCACTTTTCCTGTTGGTCTTGGTCTTAGTTAGGGTAACAAACCACCATGACCAAGGCAGCTTTTTATTTCTGGCACAGAGGGTGGGGGTGGTTTTATGAAAAAGGACTACTTTCTATAACCCTGGTTGTCCTGAAACTCATTCTGTAGACAAAGCTGGCCTTGAATTTGGAAAGCCAACTGCCTCTGCCTCCCAAGTACTGGGATTAAAGGTGTGTGTTAACACTGTCCAGTTAAGGCAACTTTTTTTTTTTCATTTTTAAGACAGGGTTTCTCTCTGTGTAATAGTACTAACTGTCCTGGGACTCACTTTGTAGACCAGGCTGGCCTCAGACTTAACAGAGATCCACTGGCTTCTGCATCCCAAGTGTTGGGATTAAAGGTGTGAGCCACCACACCTGGCCAAGGCAATTTGTAAAAAAAAAAAAAAAAAGATTTAATCGGGGTCTTGCTTATGACAGAGCGTGTGGAGGCAGGCAGGGCACTGCAGAAGTAGCTGCTGTGAGCTCGCATCTCATCTAAAAGTTGCGGGCAGAGTGGATGTGTCTGTGGGACTAGGGAGAGACTGGGCCTGAGTTGGACTCTTTTGCTTGTTTTTATTGTTTTGTTTTTCGAGACAGGATTTCTCTGTAGCTTTGGAGCCTGTCCTGAAACTAACTTTTGCAGACCAGTCTGGCCTCAGACTGACAGAGATCCGCCTGCCTCTGTCTCCCAAGTGCTGGGATTAAAGGCGTGTGCCACCATCGCCTGGCTTTGGCTTGGATTTTTTGAAACCTTAAAGCTCACCTATAATGACACAACTCCAGAAAGTTGGGGAGGAAAGGGTTTATTCAGCTCACACTTCCACATTGCTGTCATCGTCAAAGGAAGTCAGGACAGGAACTCAAGGAGGGCGGATCCTGCAGGCAGGGCCTGGTACAGGGGACATGAAGGGGTGCTGCTTACTGGCTTCTTACATGACTTGTTCGGTCTTCTTTCTTATAGAACCCAGAACCACCAGCCCAGGGAGGGCACCACTCACAATGGGTTATGTCCTCCCCATTGATCACTAATAGAGAACACACCTTACAGCTGAATCTCATACAGGCAATTCCTCAGCTGAGGCCCCCCCAAATGACTCTAGCTTGCGTAAACCAACCAGTACAGCCACACCTCCTAATCCTTCCGAAATAGTCCATCAGGTGGGAACCAAACATTCAAATGTGAGCCTTTGGGGGCCATTCTCATTCAAACCACTCCCTAGCCCCTATAGGCTCTTGCTTTATCATAATGCAAAACGTATTTAGTTCAACTTCAAAAGTCCCTATAGTTCTTCCTAGTCTCAACACTGCTTAAAAGTCCAAAATCTCTTCTGAGACTCAAAGCAATCTCTTAATTATAAGCCCCTATAAAATCAAAGAGCAGATTATATACTCCCAACATAGAACATATATTATCATTCTAAAAGGGAGGAAGGGTG